CAAACCCAGCTCCCACTAAAGTTTTTATGGGAGGCTTTGTCATCTACTTCAGCGTGAGCAGGTGCCAAATGTGCAAATCTCATTCTTTGTGTAAAGAAACTGAGGTTACATTCTCTACTGATAAGTTTTACCTGCTGTTTTCCTTCTGCCATACATCATCTATTTACTGTAGCCTTTAGTGGTAATTAATTTGAAAATGTTAAAAATATTACTGTAAGAAAGGTATTTATTTTAACAAGAAACAAACTTTGACTTGAAGAGCAAGATAAAGTAAAATGTGAAGTAAAGCTTCACCTGTAGTGCAAAATTTGTGGGTTTTTTTAGCAGCTGTGGATTTTTTTTTAAACAGTTTTTAAAATTATTTTAAAGGCAGGTTTTTAGATTCTGATGCATGTAATACTGAAGGAAAATGGCAGATTTTTCTTTTGCTTTTTTAAAAATGGGGATCTTTTTTAATCTAATACTGATTGTGTTTAATTCATTTTGGAAAAAATACTGTTCATGTTATAACTCTTCAGAAGCCAGTTGGATTGTTGGACTCAAATAGAATTGGTTATTTTCAAAAACTCAGGACAAACTAAATAAGCTATAGTACCTTAAAAATGTATAATACAAATTGGAAGTAAAACATCTTAAAGATAAGTTTACATGAATTATAGTGCTCATACTAATAAAAAAAAAAAGGCAGTGTCATCAGTTGTGAATGTATTTCTTTTGGAAATTTTACATTCCTTTGTTTTGGATGATTGGCAGACTTTGAAGAGTTAAAAAGATAATACTGAAATGTGAAGTTTGGTAGCTCTGTTTTGTACTTGACTTTTTTTTTGACCACTTTAGAATTTCTCATTCTAATAAGATTATTTCCAAGTCTTATGTGCAAGCTTTAAAGGATGCACTCTTGCCAATTCGTGTACTGGAAGATCAGTTGTCAGATTAATACTGTTTCTGGCAGAAATGTAAACTGTATAAACTGATGAACCTCAGCTAATCAGTATTACTTTGTAGATCACTATGCCTACCACATTTCAAACTCAAACTGCCTCTTAGGTGTCCAAATGCATTTGTTTGAGTTTGTGTTTCGCTCAGCTTGCTGGTAATTGTGGTGTTTTTAAAAATGCAGATGTGATGTAATATTCTTATTTTCTTTGGATCAAAGCTGGACTGAAAATTGTATTGTGTAATTATTTTTTTGTGTTCTTAATGTTATTTGGTACTTAAGTTGTAAATAACGTCTACTGCTGTTTATTCCAGTTTCTACTACCTCAGGTGTCCTATAGAGTTTCTTCTACCAAAGTTCACTTTCACAATGAAATTATATTTGCTATGTGACTGATTCCTAAGACTTCCAGGGCTTAAGGGCTAACTTCTATTAGCACCTTACTGTGCAAGCAAATTTTACGGAAATCTCTGGGTTAAGAAATTTGGCTTCGTTGTATCCTTTGTTATTTTAAATATATCGAGATATTTTAATTAAAAGTTTTTACCCCATTGAACCAATTTTATATAGTATAATTTGTACGTATTTTGGTGTTTTTGTCTTTATAGTAAATAAAAGTTTTTGAACAAATCTTGTCCTTTGCTTATTAAAATGTCAATATGTTCAGTTTACTGATGTGAGGAAAATATTTCTGGTACACTTGACTGTTTATACACAAGTTTGTACACCACACTTGGTATATCAAGACTTGTTTTCTAATATTAAATAACACATGAACGAGTTTTGGCCAATATATATCTATCTATATCTATAACTTGGCTGTATCGATAAAGAATGGTTAGATAAGGGGCAGCAACAAAGACTAATTTTTTTTTTTTAACTGATGATAAAGATAGCAACTTCTCTTAAGACAGCATTGTTATTTATGAACCTCATTTGTTTTTGCCTTTAGGTCAAGAATTAAATGTCTAAACTCTGCATTACTGCAAATGTTACAATTACCTAGTCAGGTGAGCTGATTTGGTTAGATCAGTTCTGGAGCCATTGAAGTGTATCTTGGAAGTCAGTCTGCTATTTTATGTTTTTGGTGAAATGATTCTGTTTGCGATTTAAGTAGCAAATACAAGCCCTTCCTTGTTCAGGCAATCTGACCTATGTATTGCAAAGCTAGGACTAGTTTCACTTGATAGTCTTTCTCCAGATATTTTTTAAATTTTAAAAATTAATCTTTTTTTTTACGGAACTCAATTTTCAACTATAGCCTTTTTTGTGACTACAAATTCTGTACTTCAAAGGATCACACTTTTTATAGTTTCCATTAGTTATGTGACTTTCTACAGCTAGGGACGAACATTCTAATTCGCCAGCAAAAACTGGCAGCAGAAATCTTCAGATAAGTTCTAATATCTGATCTTTAAAATCAGAAAAATGTACTAATACACGACATTGATTAAGTAAAAGATACATTACATTACATTACATTGAAATACACGACAAGGATTAAGTAAAAGATACATTACAATTAATTTACCTTCCTTTACTTGATTTACCATAGAAGTTCTGAATTGTGCAGTACTGCGTCATACTTGCAACATTGCAGCCTAGTTTTAGTAACAAGGGACGGCAGAGATCTCCTGTCCCGGCAGTTGGCAGTAAAGTCAAAGAGACCTACTTAGAGAACCAAATGTCTTCATTTGCCAAGGGCATGTTCAGTTCTTCCAAAAGCAAATGGTAAGCTCTATGCCTGTTTGAATTTCTCTGGTGGGAATAACCACATTTCTACATGATGGTCATAGGTTGAAGTCTGATGTTTCATCTTGCAAAGTTCTCACTTAAAGGTGACAGGTGCCTCCAGGACATGCTGGAGTGTCATGAAGATCACGTATGTCCTTCCATCACATGAGTGGGCAACCTATGCGCATGGCTGTTGTAACCTGACTCAGACCACTTTCCAAGGCACTCTATTTCCCTTACTAACTTTTCACTCATTATTTAGCTTTCCATGCCAACCTGAATCGCGAATGTGACTGTCTTGCTTTTAAGAGCTACAGTATGCATGTACTGTGGCAAACATGTATGTTGTTTTCTGGTTATGGCACGCAGCTGCTAATATCCGGAGTTGAACGGAGACCTTTCTTCCCTGTCATTACCGAGGAAGTCCAGGAGATGGCAGGGAAGCACTTTCAGGCAGCCACTGTGCCTTCTCTTGTTTCCCTCGGTTTGCAACACCTCAGTTTGCAATACCTCATTGCTCAGCTCCTGTTCTCGAGAAAGATGTGCCAGGTCAACAGTAGAATTAAAGTGATTATGGAGTAAATCAAGATGCAATTTATAAATACTTGCAAGGCTCTGAAACAGGAAGTTAATTCAGTTTGTTTCATTGCTTTGGTGGACCTGTCTCAGATTCCCAAACTCTCTTCAAAATTTCAGATCTGGCAATAGGAGTATAACCCCTGAGAGTGTTTGGAGGTTTGATTTCTCTGTTTACCCCCAAACCGATTCTCAAACACTTGCTCCATGTTTTTAAACTAGTTTCTGAAGAAAGTAAAACATGTGCCTACACATTCGTGTTTTCCCAATTCATCGGCAGTTTTTAACTAAAAAATAATGCAGATAAGGAGCAGTATCCAAAGATGTAAGTATTGTGAAAGTAGGTACCCAAGCAAGGAGGGACAACAGTGGCTAAAGAGGTGATAACAGTACCCTTATCTTGACACGTGTAATGATTTGTAAAGAATGATTTGCAGAGCTTTGCTAATTTTTGAAGATCGATTGCTGAGCAGTTGTTTTCCTCACTCGATTTTTGGTTATTTTTAAAAAATGTTACAGATAAATGATGGTAGTATGTGGCACCAAAAGGGCTTATGACCCCAGTTGTAAATGCTCATGATTTGTAGCATATCTCTTCAGTCTAGGTAGGTGGGTGTGTAGTAAATGCAGCACTGATCAGCAGGCTGCATCTCCCGGTCATCATAGCCAAATACTAGGCACAAGTGTGGACAGAAATATAACAGGTTTCAGGTCTGGACTATTGATCCACTCTCTTCATGACATACGCTACAGACTTGTGATCTAAGTCTTATGAGGAGCAGCTGAGGGAGCTGGGGTTGTTTAGCCTGGAGAAGAGCAGGCTCAGGGGAGACCTCATCGCTTGCCCAGCAATCCTGAAAGGAGGTTGTAGCCGGGTGGGGGTTGGACTCTTCTCCCGGGTGAATAGTGACAGGACAAGACGACATGTGGTTCAGGTTGGACATTAGAAAGAATTTCTCCAGTGAAAGGGTAGTTAAGCACTGGAACGGTCTGCCCGGGGAAGTCGTACTTCCTGAAAGTGCTCAAGGAACGGCTGGACGTGTCACTTCGTGTTGTGGTTTCCTTGCCGTGGTGGTGTTCAGTCATAGGTTGGACTCGATGATCTTGGAGGTCTTTTCCAACCTAATTTATTCTATGATCATCTGAAGCACTAACAGCCCTCAGCATCACTAGAAGCAGGCACGAGATGATTTTGAAAAGCTGACGTCATAGTGCCGGGATTGCTCCTGGATGCAGAACTGTCAAGGAGGTGGGTTCAATCGCTGCTTCTAGATAACTTCCAAGCCACCTTTTTAATCTGGTACCAGATCTTGTCTTTTTGAATTGTTTAATATAACACAGAAGGGACACGTAACATTGTTCAGAGAGAGGTGTGCGTACTTATATCTGGAAGGGGCCGTGAGTTTCCTTTCCCGATGCCCGCGGCTCTCCCTGCTGGGGTGTCCCTGGACGCCGCCCCCCGAGGGGCCGAGTCCTCACGGGCCCTCCCGCGCCGCGGCCACTCGCAGCCAATGGCAGCTCAGCACACAAACACTCCCGCGCCGCGGCCGCTCGCAGCCAATGGCAGCTCAGCACACAAACGCTCCCGCGCCGCGGCCGCTCGCAGCCAATGGCAGCTCAGCACACAAACGCTCCCGCGCCGCGGCCGCTCGCAGCCAATGGCAGCTCAGCACACAAACGCTCCCGCGCCGCGGCCGCTCGCAGCCAATGGCAGCTCAGCACACAAGCGCTCCCGCGCCGCGGCCGCAGCACGGAATGGCCGCCGCGTTCGCGCGGGCGCGGCTGGGCCGGGAGGGCGGCGCGGGGCTGTGAGGGAGCGGCCGTCAGGCTGAGCCGGCCGGGCTGTGACCGCCATGGGGTGGGTGCTGCTCAGGGCGCTGCGCCGCCGCTGGGCAGCCTACAAGTACCGCTTCGTGCCCTGGCTCGCCCTCAACCTCCGCCGTCAGGGCAGGTGAGGCGCGGGGGGAGCTCTCGGGCGCCAGCCCAGTCCCCGCTGCCCCTCCTCGGAAGAGACCGAGGCCGCCGCTCGCGTTTGTCACTGGATAGTGGTTCGGCCTTGGGGTACCCCTTGGCTGGCATGGAACTCTTATTTAGATTTTTTAAAACGGTATTTAACATTGAAACTAGATAGGTGGATTGTTGAGGTTTGGTTTTGGTTTTTTGTAAGGTGCGTTTGCCCAATTTTAAAAGGAAAACTAGTGTTTGAGTTTAAATGACTATGACATTGTTATAAGTAACTAAACTAAAACAAGTAACTAAATTAAAGTCTCTCTCATCAGCATAACATTTATCCTCACCTCATTTAAAGTGTTGTGAACTACTTGTATTTTTTTTTTTAATAAACTTCAATAATCATGTTTCATTTTTGGTGCATTTGTCACAGAGAGCTCAGGAGGGTTTAATCTACTTGACTTGCAGTAAATACACAGATGATGGTTCTATAATAGAGCAGGCACTGGTTTGAACTAAACCCTTTTATTTCACCTTTAGATGTTTTTAGTGTTATAAACAGTTCTAATTAGAACAAACATGAAAAAAGTTAGGGGTTTTCTGAAATAACACTGCACCTAAGTTACTGCTGCTGCAAAATGGCTCTTTTCTCCTTATTTAGGAAAAAAATGTAATTTTAATATATCTTTTTAATTTTAAAATACTTTCTTTTCTTCACAGGACCCTCCGATATGTTCCTGAAAGCTCTCAAGACAAAATTATCTCTGATGAAGATGTCTTTGAGACACTACTGAAAACATTTAAAGCTCTGTTCCTAAATGATTTCAGTAGACAAGCGGATATTTTGGCCTTGCTTCCAGAAGTCAAATGTCAGTATCTGGAATTACTGACTTGGGAGCAGAAGTGGTCAAAAGTAACTTCGTGTAACCATGGGAGTCAGCAGGTGTTTAGTCCTGAGGAAGTTCTGTTAAACACACTTGGATTCACTGTTGGTAGAGACCAGAGTTCCCTCGTGTCTGCTGGAACTGGAGTCTTTGTTACCAAAGGTTTTGTGCCAAAAGGGACAGTTGTGTCAATGTATCCTGGTAATGGAATGTTCTTATTTTTGGTTTAGATATGATTTCTAACTGTTTAATTATGGATTGCCAAAGTTCATGCTTATTTTTATTTTATGGCATTTATTTCTGTCATTTCTTAACAAAATCACAAGTTATGGTGCATGAGAATATTTATAAACTGACTAGACTTGTTTTGGAAATAAGCAAAGCAATATTGGGAGGGATAATTTTATTAATTAAAACACTTCAGTACTTAAATTCTGATTTTCCAGCTGTTACAAAAGCTGTTCCAGATTCTTTAAACACAAATGCATGGGAGAAATTTCAAGTAGCTGAACAGTACAGTTTAATTCCTTGGGGTTTCCATTTTGGTTCAGGATCTGAAAAATGAGGTTCTGAGACCTCCACACGAGTCAGTAGACAAAAGCATGAGTTTCTTCAAAGCACAAAAGTATAAATTGGAGAATGAAAATAAAGTGTTCATTTAGCAGAACTATTCCGTAAAGTATGTGTGGAAAAATCAGCACTCCTCTTTCCTTCTCCTCATTTCTTGGAACTGTATTTATGTCCATTTCTTAGGAAGGTTTGTAATTCTATCGGTATGGCCCAGCTAGGAGCGCTCTGCTGACACGCTCTGAGTTTGTTTCTGTTTCATCTGTCAACAGAATCACCCCCTGCATGTGGTCTCTGGCTTGTGCCAGCACTGCGGGATCGGGAGCAGCCCGAGCCCTGGGCAGGGAGCACAGGGGAGCTGTGCCGAGGCAGGAGTGTACAGCCATTACCATTGACTACTGGTGAACTGACCAGTTGTCAAGTAACAGTCACAGTGAGTGGTCCTGCTGCTTTGCAGGTCACTTAAATTTTAGGCTCATACTAAATGTGAGCCTAGGTTCATTCAGAGTCTCCTCTGGCAGCTCCTCTAGCATTAAAAGGGGGTGGGCAGGTGAAATGCCTTTCATTTTCAAGGGAATGAAGGAAACTGCAGAGTGATGGGCTGGGTATGATACCCTGTGGACAGAGATCCTGCATTTGTGAGCAGAGCCTGCCCATGGCTTTTGCCTGGCTCCTTGTGAGGCTGCAGTGAAGGACTTCTACTGAGGGGTGCTGAAGGTGTAGTGGGTGTGAGGGGGATGCAGGACAGCAATTCCATGAAAAACTGCGAGCCTGTCAGCTCTTACTTTTCTGTGCTTGGAAGTCAGGGCAGGTTAAATCCCCTCTGCAGATTTGGGAAACGGTCTGCTGAAATAATTTCTTCTTGGTTTGTCATTTTCCATTTCCTGTACCAAGCAAAATCTCTGATGTAGGGTGGTGGAGGTTGGTGTTTCAGATTCTTTGCTGTCTGCGTGTGCTTTTCAGAATCCTGACATAGTAGAAACAAAATAGCATAGTCTCTTCAGATGTGTTTTCCTGAGCAAACATCACTTGACATTCTCCTCTCTGAAGCTGATCAGTTGGCTTTAAGGCTTTATCTACCTGTCCCAAAGATACTGAAGTCAGGCCTTCTCTCTGATGATTTCCTACAATGGCTTCCCTCTTTGGAATACCTCAACTCATTTAGTTGTGTGAGTCTTTTTGCATCCCAGAAAGTTGCATATAAAAGCCTTTAGGTTTACAAATGTCAATGTCACTAAGTGAGAAGGGACTTCTCTCCTATCCCCTCTCTCCTTTGAGTTTCTGTGTGAAGGGGACTGGATGATACCATAAGCCCATTCTAACAATTAACTTATTTTCTTCTGAAATAATAATATCTGTCTTGCAACAGGTACAGTATACAGAAAGCATGAGCCCATCTTTTTCCAGTCCCTTGGCAATCCCTTTATTTTTAGGTGCATTGATGGCATCCTTATTGATGGGAACGATAAAGGACTATCAAGATCAGTGTACAGGTAAGCAAAAGAAATGGGGGATTGTCACTCATCTGATTTAAAAGAGGGGTACTAATAGTCTCAGTTCCCTGTTGTCTTACCCTAAATTGAGTTTACATGATTGTCATCCACCTGTGTATATCTCATAATGCAAACAACACAAGGGTGAAGAGTTGCTGGTTGTGATCCTTTATTGTGTCTTTGTCTGTAACACCAGAGAGATGAGTTTAGATGTACTGAGACTTTCTTGTAAAGAAATTAGTTTTAATAAGCAGGATGTAGCATAAAAGGAATTAAATGTTTCTGAGCTGTTACTCAAACCTGCCTAGTTTGGCCCATCAAATCCAACTCCCTGCTCCTGGCAGGACTGCCTAAAATCAAACCATAGGACTAAGAGCATTGTGTAGACATTCCTTAAACTCCAACAGACTTGGTGCTGTGACCACTCCCAAGGGGAGTCCAGTGACCAGTCATCCTCTTGGTGAAGAATCTTTTCCTAATGTCCAGTCTGAACTTTCCCTTACACAGCTAGCCTGGACTGCTTTAACTTACCTTAAAATATAATTTGTAGCAATTTTTGTTTAAATATGACATGAAAAGAAAATAGTAACTAGCAAAATTATCTAAAATAATACCTAGTTTGAATATTAATACCTACTAATACCAGATTTTAATTTTGGGAGTGAATTTAGGGCTAATACTGTAATGAGCCTTTGCATCTTTAGAGGTGAGTGAGATGAGTTGACGCTTCTGTGACAGTAACATTTGATGTTGGTTTCTGGAAGAGTATGTGGTAGTTTTGTGCAGATTCTTTCACCAGAGTCTGAGAGACACCACACACCAGAGGGAGGTTTAAATACTCTTTTTAAAGTATCATTAAGGTGTTGATCTGCAGCAACTGTGGCCATTTCTACAGGAGGAAGTAAGAAAACCTGTTAGGTGAAGAAGCAGTGATTCACACTGAGGCTGTTGGTCATTTCAGGTCTTGCAGGAGGAGAGATCAACTTGGCCCATTTCAGATGAGTGATGAGAGCTGGCTCACTGATGCTCCGCAAAACCCACTGGCAGTGGGACAGTATGTCAACAACTGCTCACATGGTAAGTTTCCAGGTAAATTTTTGAGGCTTGAGTTTGTCTTTATAGATATAAATTACTTTGGAGGTAACACAGAGAATAGGATACTGATCTTAGGGGACAGTAGTCCTGTTTAAAACAAGATAAGCACTTACGGGATAAAACGTTTCTGAGAGTTTTTGTCACAGTTTGGTGTTGGAATCCTTCAGTGCAGCAGTGCATCAAATACCCTTGTTCTTTTCTCACTAATTCCCCCAGTTTCCTTCCTGGTAGAATGAAAGGCACACACCCCAAAATGTGAGATGGCTGGATAGGATATCTGGCAAAGGTCCACCGGGCTGAGACAGAACACAGAGTTTCAAATCAAGCTTCCCAGTCTGGTTCCAGCAGACTTCATGAGAAAACCAAATGCACAGTGACATATACAGTAAGATTCTATCACTGCTCATTTTGAACCGTTTTTTTAGACTTCCTTATGTTTGTGCACAAAATCTATGAAACTGTTGGTATGATCTCACTGTTGGACCTGAAGAAGGGAACTATTTATTCTGTCTCACTGTTGGTCTTAAGTAATTCATGGGAATGGTTGTGATACATGGAAAGTTGAATTGATACCATACCTACCATATCTAGCTTCTGAGTGGCTTTCATAGCCTGCATTACACTAAAGATTCCCTGACTCCAAGTAGCATCCAGAAAAGTTGCTGGAGTAGCAAACCAAGTATGGACTGGCACAGACAGTCCCATGAAACTGTTTCTTCCAAGTCCAATGCCCATGAAGTAGATTTCCCTCTTTCTGCTGGACAGATTGGGATTTCCTCCCTGGCTGTATTTCTGACATATTTTGACACTAGAAAAAATTTTTTCAGTATTTTTTTTAACAGTAAAAGCAAACATTGTGTATTAACAACATTAGCAGTGCTGTAAGCTATCTCTGGTGCTAAGCAAGTTGTGCCTCCTCATATACAAGTTGATAATCGAGTCAAGCTCCTGTAGTTGGTTGTGTAAATTCAAAGCAGGACTTCAGGGGAGTGCAGTAGCTCCCAACAGAGGAGCGGTTTTCAGTCCTGATGAAGCATCTGGCATTATTGTATCAGTACATTTGATGTTTTTACAGATCTTTAAGCACTATCTAATATTTCCTTTGTATTATAGAGACTTTTTTTTTTTTCTTATTTCTAGAAAAAGCAGCAAACGTGTGTTATCAAGAGTTTGATGTGCCGGAACATTTTCCAATAGAGCTGAAACAGTACCTTCCAAACATCGTCTACAACCATGATGTAGAGAGGTTGGCAGCAAATGAAAGAGCTCGTGGATTTGTATGATACAAGCATACTGCATGTGTAAAAAAAGACAGACACAGTTGAAAAATAATATACAGTATGAAGATGAGTTACACAAAAATGTGCAACTACATGGGAGAGTTAGCTCTTTGAATAGACTGAGTTCAGTTCCAAGACTGTTTGTTCCTTTTTCCGCATCTTCGCAGATGAGTTCGGTGTGAAGACACGGTTTTACAAGCAGTGATTGGGTTGCTCTGTAGGGCAGTTCTTCTGAATCCCATAAAGCATTGGTTATATTTTGCTTGTATTACAGTATTGGAGGTTTTAGGTATGTATTTCAGATGTAGTTAGTGATCTTTAAGCATTCAAAGCCCTTCTGAGATAGTTCAGGTTTAGACTTCTTACTCTCCTGGTTCTCCGTGTCTTCTGCTTATGTGACAAATAAGCTGAATTTTCAAAAAGAAACCTAAAATTATATTGAGACAAGTGAAGTACTATGAAGTATAAAGGCATGTGACTTTTAGTTCTAGTACACAATTACAACATCCTCATTATGATGTGGAAATTCACCTTTTTTTGGAAATTAAAACACTTGGAAACCTTTCTCAGATAATCTTCTTCATTTCAAGGATGAATGAGGATTTTAGAGCAGATCATGTGAACTTTTAATGTAATTCTGGAGCTATTTTAAAACTCTGAAATTAGAGAAAGTTATGGTGCGTATTGGCAAATTGGCTTTTCTGATTAAACTTAGACTTTGTTGAGGCAAGGTTTAAGATGCCCTTGTAACCTGCAGATAATTAAGTAAATGCTAATAAAATAACCAGTAGGACTGATTTCTGATGAAGCATGGATGCTGTACTTGAAGTGTGAAAGCAGAGTGAGGAGAGATAGGCTATGGGACCTTTTCAGGAAGGGGGAATTTTGCTCTCTTCCTTGGAATCTGTGGAAGAAAGTATGGTCTTTCAGTCATTATTTCTCCCAGTGTACAGCCAGTAGACAAAAGATCGTATCTGCTTCCAGCTGCTTGGTTTGATACTGATATATACAATGCTGGCAGCATGTGTAATCTGGTTTCTAAGTCTTTTTCTGTCTTGTAAAAGAGTTCTTACCTTTTGTTTGGTATGTTTCAAAATGGCCTCACACTAAATTTTTAGTAGTCAGACTGTTTGGGTTGATGCTGTTTTTCTGGTTGATCAGCATCAGAAGCATGTGCTCTCCTTCCTAGAGTAGGTATTTCAGCTTTAGGGCATGGTCACTTACTGAAAGGAAGTTGGGGGCGGTGGGTTCCTAAATATATCTGTAAGAAAAATGCCAGCCCCTGATTTCAGCTTGGAGTTTATGGAGAAGTCACCCATCACTGTAGATTGAAGCAGATCTCTGATGCAGTTCAGTGCTGTCTTCCTGGGTATTGGTGGGCTTGGAGTAGCTTTAGCCAAGTATCACCTGTGGGCAGGTGTGTCTAGAGGAATGGTTTCTGCTCCATGAACTTTGATATAGCTTCTCCTGTCTGAGTAAGTCTTGACCAATTCTTTTCAATTCTGAATAACTGTATGAGTGAAAACATTATTTGCATACCTACATAGGCTGTGCTTTTTTGGTAATTGTATTTGTTTTGTTTATATTTGCTGTCCGTATTTCAGTGTTGTTTTTCCATGGTCCCTGCCCTGCATTATGCCTATTACTCCCAAAACTAATCTAGACAAAGCCATTGTTTTAACTTCTTGAAATGAAGAATTAAAAAAAAAATCAAAAGGAAATATAATTGTTCACTTTCACATGTTTTCTTATCCTTTTTTTACAGCCACCTGAGGTGTGTAGTTCTTGTCACTCTCAGAGACATCAAGCAAGGAGAAGAACTTTTTTCAAATTACTACACTGTTGTCAGATGAATTAATTGATTCAAGACTGAGGAAATCTGTGTCAATAAAATATGTACTATGTCTGTACTTCAAGCTTCATCATCATTTTTACTCAAGGGAAGGGCTGTAGCCTCTACCATTTGGAGAGCAAGCTGAAGGCTTGAATTTCTCTGAAAAACAGTCCACATTCAATGCACAGGTGAAGGTTTACCCATTTACATCATTAGGTTCTCAGCTGTCTGCTGTTGTTCTGCTTACTGGTGTTCAGCTGTCCATATGGTAGCTTATAAAATTAAAACCCAAGTTCTGGATATGTCATTAAATCTACTCAATTGCACAGTTGTCTGTAACTGGGACTCGGGACATAACTTTTAAAAATAACTTCCCTCATAGTTCACAGTACTTACTAGTTCTGGTTCTCAAGTTCTTGGAGCTGACCCCTTTGGTATCAGCTTCCTTTTAAAAAGTATTCCAATGCTGCGAGTTGGCCTCTGGATGACAGTGCACCATGCAGGCACAGCTGAGGGGCCCACCAGCATGGTTCCAAAATGGGCTTCATGTTAGGACATCTTAGCCACTGGCTTCAGTCCTGCCTGTCCTGGGCTAGGAGGAAGGGTGGTGTGTGTCTTGAAGCCTTGTCCAGTCTTAACTTTAGTGATTCACTGAAAGTTTCCTGGCATGTGGCAACTTTCATAGCTTTTATTTTCAAAGACAGAGAGCATCATGTTGCAGTGTAGCTGGAGGAAACAATGCCAACCAAGTGTGCTGTGTATTTTTTTAATGAGTGGCTGGTATAAACTGATCCAGGTATTCCTACGTTAATTCTTGCTGCTGTCTGCAAACTGCAGTCAGAAAGATCATCCCAGTATACTTACTGCAAAAGTCCAAGCAAGCCTCCCAGTGACTTCGTGGTTGGCATAAGCTCATGAGAAAGGAGCTGGGAAACGGTGTGCTGTAAGGAATCAGGAGTGGCTGGGGCAGCCAGGGTGCCCTTGCTTGGCTGCTGAAGCACCTGGCCTCCTTTTCAGAATGCAAAGCTGTTGGTGTCTGTGTTACTTGATCCGTTTCCAAGCCTGAACCTTGTTTTCAGATTCATTTTGAAGTCCTTTGCTGCCAGAGCAGGCTGGCTATTTCAGCAGGATTTAAATAGCAGAGCTCTGAGGTAGTAGCATCTGGCTCTGCATGGGTTGTGCAAGTTTTATGGTGATGCTTTGGATGACTTCCAGTGACAGTCCTTATGTCTTCACTGCATGGTAACAGATCAGACAGTGATCTACTGAAGTCTACTGAAGAGGATGCTCCTCCTCCATGACTCTGAGGACCCCTTCTCTCCTAAGCTGGCCCTTCTCCCTAGCTCTCTACAGGCCTGTCAGCCTGACCTCAGTGCCTGGCAGGGTTATGGAGCAGATCATCCTAAGTGCAATCACACAACACCTACAGGAGGACAAGGGATCAGACTCAGCCAGCACGGGTTTAGGAAGGGCAGGTCCTGTCTGACCAACCTGATCTCCTTTTATGAGCAGGTGACCCGCCTGGTGGATGAGGGGAAGGCTGTGGATGTGGTCTGTCTGGACTTCAACAAAGCCTTTGACACCGTCTCCCACAGCATGCTCCTGGAAAAGCTGGCAGCCCATGGTTTGGAGAGGGGCACTCTGTGCTGGGTTAGGAACTGGCTGGAGGGCCGGGCCCAGAGAGTGGTGGTGAACGGGGCTGCATCCAGTTGGCAGCCGGTCACTAGTGGTGTCCCCCAGGGATCAGTGTTGGGCCCAGTTCTCTTTAATATCTTCACTGATGACCTGGATGAGGGGATCAAGTGTACCATTAGCAAATTTGCAGATGACACCAGGTTGGGGGGAGTGTTGATCTGCTGGAAGGCAGGAGGGCTCTTCAGAGGGACCTGGACAGGCTGCAGAGATGGTCTGATTCCAATGGGATGAGGTTCAACAAGGCCAAGTGCCGGGTCCTGCACTTTGTCCACAACAACCCCATGCAGAGCTACAGGCTGGGGACAGAGTGGCTGGAGAGCAGCCAGGCAGAGAGGGAGCTGGGAGTTTGGATTGACAGGAAGCTGAACATGAGCCAGCAGTGTGCCCAGGTGGCCAAGAAGGCCAATGGTATCCTGGCCTCTATCAGGAACAGTGTGGCCAGCAGGACCAGGGAAGTGATTCTTGCCCTGTACTCAGTGCTGGTGAGGCCACACCTGGAGTACTGTGTCCAGTTCTGGGCCCCTCAGTTCAGGAAGGATACTGAGGTGCTGGAGCAGGTCCAGAGAAGAGCAACAAGGCTGGTGAAGGGACTGGAGCACAAATCCTATGAGGAAAGGCTGAGGGAGCTGGGGTTGTTTATCCTGGAGAAGAGGAGGCTCAGGGGAGACCTCATCACTCTCTACAGCTCCCTGAAAGGAGGTTGTATCCAGGTGGGGGTTGGTCTCTTCTCCCAGTCAACCAGCAGTAAAACAAGAGGGCACAGTCTTAAGCTGTGCCAGGGGAGCTTTAGTTTAGATATTAGGAAGAAATTCTTTACGGAGAACCCCATTCAGACCCAGAAGCACTCAGAAGCCAATTGGGCATGTTGCTGGGAGCAATGCAGGAGATTTAAATGGCTCTAAGGAGCACAAGCCACTGACAATGATGGCACAGTATGATAGGGAAGGCAGGGAGGGCAGGACATGGCAGGGTGAACAGAGTATGGCAGTGAGGGCAGGGCACAGCACTTTGCACAGCTGTTCACACAGGAAGGGCTCCTCTTTGACCACCTGGGAGGAGCTAGTAGAGGCAGATAAACAGACTCAGTATGTGATGGAAAAGAGCTCGAAAAGATCCTTCCAGCCCCAGTCTTATCAGTGTACTAGTTTAAGCTTTTTCAGTTGTGGTGTTGACACGCCGCAAAGCTCAGTCCCTTAGAGCTGTGGGAGTCACTGAACTCCCAGCTATGTCAGAGGCCTCCAGTCAGGCCTGCTGATGGCAGATGCAGCTCTCCAGGTCACAGGTTGCCAGGAGCACCTGCTGCCTCTTTGTGAGGCTGTGACAGAGGAACAGTTCTTTTGCAGGTGTGCCATGGTTGAAGAGCTGTGTCACCAGGGGAAGGAGCTACAGGAAGAAGTGAACAGGCTACTTGGTATTTGAGTGAACATGCAAGAGACTGACCCATTATTTTCAGAGACACTACAGTCTCAAGACTCTCAGGAAATCCAAATCTCCATTGTAGTGGAGAAGCAGGTGGACTCAGAACCCTGAAATGTAAATAGTCAAGGATCTGTTGAAGATGAAGGCTGGAAGGAGGTCACTGCACATACCAGGAGGAATGTTCTTCCTCCTGGAAACTGAATAAGTAGGAGTAGTACCTTCTACAACAGGTATGAGGCTCTAGAAGGCCACACAACTGATGAGGTGAACAAAGGTCCCTCTGGCATAGAGGAGCTTCCTAAGGCAACACCAAACTGTACCCTGCATCACAACCTCCTCTGTCAAGAGAAAAAGAAGGGTAGTTGTAACAGGTGACTCCCTTCTACGGGGAACAGAGAGCCTGATATGCAGATCAGACCCCATCCACAGGGAAGTCTGCTGCCTCCCAGGGGCTCAGATAAGGGACATTACTGGAAAACTCTCCAGTCTAGTAAGGCCCTCTGATTACTGTCCACTATTGGTTGTTCAAACCGGCAGTGACAAAATAACAAAGAGAAATCAGAGGGCAATCAAAAGAGACTTCAGGGCTCTGGGGTGATTGGTAAAGGGATCAGGAGCACAGGTAGTGATTTCCTCAATCCTTCTTGTAACAAGGAATAATATTGATAAGAATAGGCAGATCCCTCAGGTCAATGAGTGACTCCGAGGTTGGTATAATCGGAAAAATGTGATTTTTTGACCATGGGATAATCTGCTTAATGCCTGGTCTGCTCATGCCTGCTGGAACGCACCTTTCTCAGAGGGGAAAAAGAGTTCTAGCACAGGAGCTGTCAGGGCTCATTGACAGAGCTTTAGAGTCGCTTGGAAGGGGGAAAGGGACAAAACCAGGCTGGCCAGTGATGAGCGATGTGATGGTGTGCCAAAATTTGAGAAAACCAGCACTTAAGAGGATCCCTCAGTCTGCCTCAAGAGGTGTTGGCTACAGTGTACCACACCTGAAATGTTTCTACACCAATGCACGCTGCAAGAGCAACAAACAAGAGGAGCTCAAAGCTTTGGCCCGGTCCAGAGGTTTGACATCATTGGCACAAGTGAAACCTGGTGGGATGAATCCTGTGACTGGAGTGCCCTGTTGGATGGTTACAGGCTCTTCGGGAGGGATAGACAGAGCAGAAGAGGTGGAGGGGTGTTGTAATGTAGTGGAAGGGTTAGAATGTATGGAGCTCACAGTCGGCAGTGGCACAGTTGAGAGCCTCTGGGCAAGAATCAAGGGGCAACCAAATAATGAAGACGTCGTTGTGGGAGTCTGCTATAGACCTCCCAGCCAGGACAATGACGCTGACAAATTATTCTTTGAGGAACTAAGGGGCACTTCCAAGTCAACTGCTCTCATCCTTATGGGGGACTTCAACTTACCGGAAATTAACTGGGAGCATCACACAGCTGGTACGACTGAGGCCAGAAGATTCCTAGAAAACTTGTATGACAACTTTATGGAATAGGTCCTAGGGGAGCCACCTCAGAAAGTTGCCATCCTGGATCTGCTGCTTGTCAACAGAGTGGATATTGTGAGCAAAGTGGAGATTGGTGGCCGTCATGGCCACAGCGACCACCAAGTGATCAAGTCTAAAATCTCTGTTGAGAGGAGAAAAAGTGCCAGGAAAACCTGAGCTCTGGACACGAGCAGAGCAGACTTTGGGCTGCTCAGGGAATTGGTAAGTAAGGTCCCCCGGGAAAATGTTTTTGCAGGTGCTGGGATCCATCAATGCTGGTCGCTTTTCAAACGTCACCTCCTAAGGGCACAGGAGCAGGCAATTCCCAAATGCTGGAAGTTAAGCAGATGAGGCAGAAGGCTGGCTTGGATAAGCAGGGATCTTCTCTCGGAAATAAGGCAAAAAA